GTGAAAGTGAGTGAGGGTGGGGGAGAGCGAGCCACCAAGGGAGGGAGAATGTAGTGAGTGGGGGGCGTGGCCTCAGGGCAGGAGCTGGGCTAGGGTGTTTGGTTTTGTGGGATTAGAAAGTTGGCAACCCTAGCCTGGGTCCCTGAGCGGGGCTAAAGCGAAAGCCTGAGCAATTTAGCTATGCGGGGGGCTTTGGGGCGTTAGGTCCCAGGCAATTGCCCTGCTTTCTACTGCCTAATGCTGGCCCTGGCTTTTAGATGCAGAAAACCAGTTCTTGTGGCACAGGCGGGCCGTAGAGTTTTTATAGCGTATTGGAGGGCCTCAGAAATAGAAAGGTTGAGAACCCCTGCTGTCAGGGATAGCTTTATAGTTTATATGTGTTGTGAGGTGAGACGATGACAGTCCAGGAAAGATTTAAGAAGCGGTATGACCTACAACCCCCAGACTCATGTAAGATGAAGGTCAGTTCAAAAACTTATTTTAGTGAGAAAAAAATAAGTTTGATTGGAAAATTCTAAAAACAAGTTCTAATGTAGAAAAAGTAACTGAGAACTCTATGTACAATAATACAACTCAAGGAATGCATTGTCCCCTGGTATTTTTGATTAAAGATACAAGTCTCTTGAGAGCAGGTTATCACACAGGCTTACCTTCTAAAAACACCTAAAAATGCATCCTGTTTATAAGAAAAGGCCTTCAGATAAACTATTTATATATCTTTTTCTTCAGAGGCATATGACTTTTGGAAGACCTGTATTCTTGTTGATAAAGGCCAGAGTGTGGATGATATTTGCAAGCTTAGATCAATTTCATTTATAATATTTTGGACTTCTATCTAACAAGTACTTTACAACATTAACTAATTAATCCTCACTGCAGTAGTGAGGCAAGTACATTTTATTGTTCCCTCTTTACAGATGAGTAAACTGATGTATTGAGAGAAGTTAAGGCCCTCCTCCTACTGAAGATCTGGCCTAGAGTGACTTGCCTAGTGGGCAGCAGAGCAGAGTACAGTGTCCAGATATTGTTAAGGAATACGTTCATTTTTTACCTGTGTTGTATCATTTTCATCAATGAATAAATACAACCTGCTGTGCATGCATTCTAAAATCTATGCTATCAGATTTGAGTTCAGTCCAAATATAAGAACACTGTAGAATGCTCCTATAATTGATATTGTCTAGATTGCATTTTGGTAATAAGTGATCTTTCTCTTTTAATTTTATTCCCTAAATAGTTCAATCCTGCAAACTGTGCAAAAAACTCCCACCGATTTAGGCAACTGCCCAGGCAGGTCCTGCACTATCAGATCCCAACTGTGTAATGTGATGAATGCAGATGAAAGTTTTGCACGAGCACCTTGGCCCTCCTCCAAGTGAAAGGCCTACAGTAGGTCTCTGAATTTCTGAATGACAAAGCACTTCAGCAAGCTGAGAAGTGCACTTTGTGAAATGGGTTATTGATTTAATAAAATGTATGTTTACATTTCTTGCATCTGCTAGCTAGTGTGCAATCAAGTCGGACATCTTAAGTCAATCACATACGTCCTTTTAAATGCCATTTTAAAAAATCTTTAAATCTATGCAAATTTTATAAAGCTAAACTACTTTACAGTGTCCCTTTAAATGTGTTTCTCTTGAGACCTGTAATTAGATTTGGTAAAGAAGAGAGCCACTCAAGAATGTTTAACTGTACATCATCATACTCTGCATTTAACTCATACTACAACACCAGACAATTTCTTCCTAGTCCCAAAGGGATCACCAGTGCCTGTAGGTTCATGTTCAGTTATTTGTCTGCCTTTTTACATGATTATCCTCCTGGACATGGGACTAGCACTGTTAAAAGGGGCTAAATCAGGGGTCGGCAATGTTCGGCACGTGGCTCGCCAGGGTAAGCACCCTAGCAGGCCGGGCCAGTTTATTTACCTGTTGATGTGGCAGGTTCGGCTGATCACGGCCCCCACTGGCTGCGGTTCGCCGTCCCGGGCCAATGGGGGCAGCAGGAAGCGGCGCGGGCCGAGGGATGTGGTGGCCGCGGCTTCCCGCTGCCCCCATTGGCCCGGGACGGCGAACCGCGGCCAGTGGGGGCTGCGATCGGCCGAACCTGCCACATCAACAGGTAAATAAACTGGCCCGGCCCGTTAGGGTGCTTACCCTGGTGAGCCGCGTGCTGAACGTTGCCGACCCCTGGGCTAAATAAATAACTCGATGAATCAACCAGATCTCAAAACATTCTCAGAGCAGCATCTCAGTCAGGGTGCTAAATGCCACAAAAGGATTTCAGCTTTTCATAAAAAGGAACACGTTGTGCCAGAATAAACTCCCTGTGTAAAAGCACATCTCCTGGGGAAGGAAGCAAGAGGGGAATATCCTACTGCTCAGCCATGCACCCCAAAAATATCTATGGGATAAGACATATGAGCAGAGGAGAAGGCCTGGAGATGGGAGATAACAGGACAGAAGAAGACTCAAATCTTCATAACTCTCTCTTCTGAATGTAAGGTTTTCCCCTGCCCTTTTATGTCTCTCCTAAGAAACCTAGTCCAGATACAGATATAAACACTCACTCCAGAGCAGTGGTTTTCAAACTTTTTAGGTTTTGTACCCCTTTCCAAATATGTAGTCTACTGCATGCGCTCATCTGAGATAGGGTCATAATATGATTAGACTGCCAAATCTCACTAAATAAAATGTGTTACAGGATTTATCTTATGTGCCTCCGATGAGAGTTCAGGTACACATACCAGGTTGAAAACCATGGTCCTTGAGGAATAAATCACATTTAATTAGGAAAGGAAAGGAAGGGAATGCAGGGGGAATCTTTCCAGGTACAGGGATGAGTTGGGGACATTTATTACTGATGCCTTTTATTTATTTGGAACATATAGCAATAAACATTGGAAAGAAAGTTCTAGGATATTTTATCTATTTGCGTCAAAACTGAGACACAGGACCCATTACTATTCTCCTCCCCACTGTGAGGACTGATTTGTTTAATCATTTTGTATATTTAAATAACTCTAGTACAAAAAATCACAAGATTCCTTTTTATTATTACACGTGCCAACAGATGAAGGATTTCACTTTCCTCTTTCCTCACAAAGAAGTGTATTTGAAGGGTGGAGGTGTTTGTCACCCATCTATTTGCCGCCTCACAAATTCCTACAACAAATGTCATTTTGAAGCAATATTCACACGCACCCTCAAAAATTGAAACTCTGACCCCACCCGCTCTTTCGTTCCCTGTGCTCTCTGTCCTTACAGGGCAGCAAGGAGAACGGAGGCAGGAGGCTCCTTCAAAATCCACCTGACATTGATATATTTAGTTACTATTTATCAAAACGTCATCCACAGACAGACTTAAAATACCCTTGTATAATTATAATTATTATCGTTGTTAGTATTATTTCACACACAGAGATGATTCTTAGGCTGGTTCTACACTACAGCGGGGGTCCGACCTAAGATACGCAACTTCAGCTACGTGAATACCGTAGCTGAAGTTGCGTATTTTAGGTCGGCTTACCTGGCGGTGAGGACGGGGGAAAGTCGACCGCTGCCGCGCTGCCGCCGACTCCGCTGCCGCCTCTTGCCGAGGTGGATTTCCGGAGTCGACGGCAGAGCAATCAGGGATCGATTTTACCGCGTCTTCACTAGACGCGGTAAGTTGATCCCCGATAGACCGATTGCTACCCGCCGGATCGGCGGGTAGTGAAGACATGCCCTTAGAGTGAGGAAGACCAAATGAAGCTGCCACCACATTCCTGAGGAGAGACATGGAAAGGAATCAAAATGTCACTCACCCCATCCTCACACTGTTCCCTGAAATACCCCAGCACCACAGGCTGCTACATCTGCTCTAAGGGGCTGGGGTGGCAGCTGATACTTTTGCCCATCAGGCTCCAACCACCCCCCCATCTTAAAGGCCCACAAGCAACATAGCTTCATCACTGAGGTTCTCCTGAACTGGTTCAGCTGAATTTACACAAAGCTTTTCAGTGGCAAAACAGTTTCCTCTCGGAGCTGCTACAGAGCCTTAATATCCTTCTCTGAGAATCCTTTTGCTCCTTCTCCTCAGCCATTATGGTCCCTACATTAGTACCCATTCTGAACAGATGCTTCCTCCCTATTTGCTAGAAATGATGCATAATTAAGCCACAAAAGCCAATCAAAAGGGACTACACCATGGGCCAGCTTGAAAAGGAGCAGGGAGGACAGAAAAAGCGAAATACTAACAGAGGGTTTCAAAGGCACAGAAGCCTTGGCCTCGTACAGAAAATGTCACTATCTGATGGTGCTTTGTGTTTAGCAGAAACTGGATAAGTGTCAGCTCACAAAAAGGTGCTTTAAACATGAGTTCATAGTGTTTGTTATAATTGTTTATGAATAATAATAATAAATATTAATAACTTATGCTTTAATAACTTACTTAAAGCTGGGCAGTTATATCTACATGTACTGTAGATTTCGAAACCGGTAGTCAGAGGAGTAAAACAGGTGCCTAAAAGATGGATGCAGTCCATGGCAGAATCAGTCAGTTACACCCCACTGTTTTGACCTTCAGTTTTACAAAGACCATGGTTGTTTGTATTGTCTTATAGCGTAGCATCACACTCATCCAAGCCCTGTATTTGAAAGATTTCTGATGTCTCTCAAACCTTAGGGAAAGTTGGAGTTGCACTTTACTATTTATAGTACCCATTATTAGCTTGACTCCAATGGGACTACTCGTGCTTCAAGTTGAGCACTTGTGTAAGTGTTTGCAGGAATGGGAGCATATATGATACATGTAACAGCATATTTTTCAATGGTCTGTCCTATCCACTTTACAATGAACAGAGGAATTTCTGATACTTCCTTTGGTAGATTATTTCACTCTCTAATAATATTACTAGGAAATTTTCCCTGATATTTAACATAAATATCTTTTGCACAAGTTCCTAGTTTTACCACCTTGGAATAACCTAAACAATTCTTCTCTCTCCTTGGTGTTTATACCCTTCAAATGTATCTATCTTCGTCAGCTTTTCTAATGTATCTAGCACAGTAGTATCCATTTTTGTCTTGTTGGATGGATTATTTTTTTAATACTATCTGCTCTCCAACATAAATTATGCTGATCTATTAGAAACTCAGGCCTCAATTCTCTGTTCTGGCTGAGCTGTTCTAGCACATGTATTGGGGAATGGGAGCTAGGGACAAAGGTGATCCCTGGAGTTCCTGCCTGCCCTCCAGCCATAGGTGTTGGAAGTAGGGGTACTGGGGGTGCTGCCACATCCCCTGGCTTGAAGTGGTTGCCAGCATATACAGGGTTTACAGTTTGGTTCAATGGCTCTCAGCACTCCCACTATCAGGACCGGCTCCAGGCACCAGCCGAGCAAGCTCGTGCTTGGGGAGGCAGATTCTAAGGGGCGGCGGCATTCTGTCCAATCCTAGGGCGGCATGGCCACCCTTTTTTTTTTTTGTTCGCGGCTCTGGCCACCCCGCACATGGGTTTTTTGATTTTTTTTTTTTGCTTGGGGTGGCGAAAAAGCCAGCGCCGGCCTTGCCCACTATACAAATTGTCCAGCATCTCTGCCTCCAGCATAAGGCTGCTCTAACTTGCACCTCACTACTCATGTTGCAACAGTGCAACCCCCTTTCCATAAGGTTTGAGAGACTTCAGAAACCTTTGAAATACAAGGCTTGGATATGTGTAGTGCTTTGCTATGAGATAATATAAACAACCTTCACTTAACCAAACTTTTGTTAAACTGGAGGTCAAACTGCAAGTGGGGGCGGGGAGTGGCATGGAGCCATTATGACTCTACGCTACCTAGGGATTCTCTTTACAGCGGGAATTCTTGGGTGGCCAGCTCGGCCAGCTTCCTGGCTCCATTCCATTGTCAGAGTGGTGTAAAAAGGCCACAGCACAATATAGAATTGGGCCCACAGTCTAGTTTTCAAACTCAAAGAAGTGCTATTGATACTATCTTAGCAGCATGACAACGGCAAGAAAAACATCTTGTACCGTGCTAAGACCCCGCGTACTATCTTGTTGACTCTATTAAGGTCTTTGCTACTTTGTCTCAAGCTTGTTTATGGAAACTGCTTACAAAATTTGGATGCCTGCAAAAATATGTTAACTGTGTGTGCCAAATGCACGATGGAAGGTAAGGAAGTTTTATATTGATGGGACTCTGCCTGAAATAAGGGCAGCAAGATTATACTGGCTATTGTATTCCACCCCAATAGTAGTGATCCCTACAGTTTATATTTCTCTAAAATATGTTGATCGTAATAAAATAACACTTTACCTAATGATGTAAACAGGGTGGTGTCCTTGTCTGTCTAGTCTCTATTTTGCATTTATGGAGACTGTATCACAAGAAACCAGTCTGCAGATGCATAAACTATCATATTTTTAAAAACACTTCCAACCTGAGCAAAGCATGAACACAGAAAGGGAAACAGCAGAATTAATTAAGGAACTAATCCGGTGACTGCTCACTGAAAACTGAAGACATACATGCAAATGATTATGGATGGGTCATACAGCAGCTGTGGCTGACTTCAGTTTATTGATATATTAAAAAATAATGAAGTGTTTGTACCAACCTTCTGAAGTAAATTCTACATGGCACCTATAATCTTTGTCAGTGGGATCCAGCTGAATAAATCCAATTACCTTGGCAATATACTCACCAAAGATGCTCAGATAAATAATGAAATGATCACACACACACATGAAAAAGGACAACTCATCCTATGTCATATTAAGAAAGAGGGTATGGAATGAACATGGGATCAATTTTTGATGATGATCAAACTGTAAAATGATGTAAGGTGCTGAGACTTGAATGCTACTAACAGTGCATTAACATTTCATATTTATTTATTTAGATTTGTATGGTTTCCTTTTAGTTTTTAAAAAATGCACACAACAACGACTCTCTAAATCCTGCCATATTGCCCACGGATTCTCAGGACATGCCTAAACTAGGATACAAAGTTTGTTTTAAAAATAGGGTAAACCTAGAGTTCTTCTCTACCACCTACCATGTTAATACAACTTGCCTATCTACTCTATGGTTTTAAAAAGTGTTAGTTAAAATGGGTTAGCTAACATGTTTTAAAAATACACTTTTTATCCATGTCTAGATGAGCCCACAACCCACTTCTCCTTAGGAAAAGCCCACGACAAAAAGTGGGCTTTGCAGTGTGAGCTGAAGATCAACACATTAATGCCAATCACCACAACAAAATAGATTCTGTCACACTAACTTGATATCTTTTTTTGATGAGATTGCAAGTTTGGTTGTTAAAGGTAATAGTATCAGAGGGGTAGCCTTGTTAGTCTGGATCTGTAAAAAGCAACAAAGAGTCCAGTCGCACCTTATAGACTAATAAATGTATTGGAGCATAAGTGTTCGTGAATATTCACCCACGAAAGCTTATGCTCCAATACATTTGTTAGTCTATAAGGTGCCACAGGACTCTTTGTTGCTTTTTAAAGGTAATAGTGTTGATGTAATATACTTAGACTTCTGTAATGCATTTGACTTGGTACCACATGATATTTTGATTAAAAAAACTAGAATGATATAAAATTATCATGCACTGTCACAGACTGTCTGGCGCTTTGAAGCCAGCTGGGTTCAGCCTTTATCCTTCAGCCTCACTGATGAGCTGACAACATAATGGTTAATAATGACCCCCAGCTGGGTGTAATGGGGCTTAATTAGAAAGACTGACCCCAGCTGTGTTGGTGAAGCAGGGCGAGCACTACTTAGGCCTTGTCCACCCTGGCAAGTTTCTGCGCAGTAAAGCAGCTTTCTGTGGTGTAACTCCCAAGGTGTACACACTGCCAAGCCACTTAGTGTCCAGAAACTGCGCAGTTGCAGTGCTGTAAAAAAACCACCCTGAGGGAGGCTTTTCTGCGCTGGGGCTACAGTGCCGCGGTGCCAGTGCTGCAATTGGCCTCTGGGAGGTGTCCCACAATGCCTGTTCTTGCTTCTCTGGTTATCGGTTTGAACTCTACTGCCCTGCCCTCAGGTGACCAACCATGCCCCCCCCCTTTAAATTCCTTGGGAATTTTGAAAATCCCCTTCCTGTTTGCTTGGTGACACGTGCAGTGGTCTCAGTGCATCTTTCCAGGTGACCATGCCTGTTCCACGCACAGAGGTGATCCCCCGCTTGGAGCAATGCCGAGCTACTGGACCTCATCAGCATTTGGGGAGAGGAGGCTCTCCAGTCCCAGCTGTGCCCCAGCCATAGGAATTATGATACCTACAGACAGATTTCATGATGCATGACAGAAAGGAGCCATGACCGGCACACACTGCAGGGCAGGGTCAAAGTGAAGAAACTGTGGAACACCTACCACAAGGTGCAGGAGGCAAACCACCGCTCCAGGGCTGCGCCACGAGCTGCCGGTTCTACAAAGACCTGGACGCGATACTTGGTGGCGACCCCACCTCCACTGCGAAGGCCACTGTGGATACTTTGGTGGCTCGCGTGCCAGTTGAGAGTGGACTGAGCCAGGAGGAGGAAATCTTGGACGAGGATGTGGAGGGGGTGGGGGACCCAGAGGCAGAGGATGACTTGGCAGTCAGAGATCCATGCAGCCAGTAGCTCTTCTCTACCTGAGAGGAGGCCAGCCAGTCACAGCTGTCAGAGCTTGGCGAAGTGCAAACAGGAGAGGAGGCCCCTGGTAAGTGGCTTTGATTTTGGGAATCGCTGAAGTGAGTTGTTGGGGGCAGGAGGGTTGCAGAAAGCAGGCTTGTGCCTGTATGATGCACATACCACCACATGCCTAGTCTAAGCAGTGGAAGTTGATTGACTCCCTCACTTCATGGGAATCTGCCTCAGAGATCTCCACGAAACTCTCATGGAGATACTGGGCAATCCGCTGCTGCAGGTTCTTTGGCAGAGCTGCCTTATTTCTTGCCCCATTAAGGGTAACTTTCCTGCACCACTCTGCCGTCACTGGGGGTGGGGATCATTGCTGCACACAGGCGAGCTACATAAGGGCCAGGGCGGAAGCCGCAGTCTTGGAGAAGTTCCTCCCTTGATTCCCTGCTCACCCTCAGCAGTGAGATATCTTCCATAATGAACACAGCCTGTGGAAAATGTGGGGACAGTAATGATTATAAGGCCCCTCCCTACAGTGCTGGCTCTCCCCAAGAGCCATGTGCCCCAGTGTGCAGTACGGTCCTAGAACACTGATTTCCTCTGCCCCTGCATTTCTCACCATTTTGGGGGTCTTGTGGCTCATGTGTGCTTGCCTGGGGTCAGCCAGTTAGTGACAGCTATGTGAATAGTGGCTGTGTTTTAAATCACTGAATCGGTGGTCTCTGTGTTGAAAACAATACTGCTTCTGTAAAATGTTGCATTTTGGCTTCACAGATATGACCTTAGGAGCCCAGCCTCCCTCTTTGTTATCGCTGGTTGAATGGCTGCGCAGAATTAGAAAGCGGACACGAAAAACTAAAGAGGACTTTCTGCATGATGTCATGATGCACTCCGCGGCCAAAAAGCAAGAATTGAAGGAGTGGTGGGACATTCAGAAGAGGGACCGAAAGGAGAATGCGGCACGCCAGAACGAAGCCACGGAGCAGCTCTTAAACGTTATGGAGCGCCAAAAGGACATGCTCCAGGTGCTACTAGCACTACAAACCGAGCAACTCCGTGCCTGCCCTTCCCTGCAGCCGTTGTCGCAAAACTCTTTCCCATGTGCCCCCCAGACACCGCCAACACACTCTTATTAACTTCCTGGCTCCAGTCTGTACCCACTGCATTCCACTCCTGCCTCGTCACAATCCAGCCCTACGGACTTCCAGTACCCACTGCACTCAACACCCGTCCCTCTGCAGTTTAGCCCTGCTGAAGTACAGTACCTGCTGAACTGTACTCCAAAGGACAAGGTTGCATATGATACCTGGACATACACAAATCTTTAACCGTCCTGGGACCCCACATCCTCCTGGGACCCTCTTTTCCTCTATCCCCCACAGTGCTGATGTGTTTTTTGTTTGTCTCTCTCCTCCAGTTGTTGTTTTTTAATAAAAGAATTGTT